TACCTTTACCTGGACCTTGATATTTTTCCTTGCCCCTTCCGTCTAATAACTAGCCCCTAATTGAGCCTAGCGCTACCAAACTTGCATACTTACACATCTTGGGGAGAATGGTGTCGACGTACAAACCAGGTCACTGTGACTTTATATTGCCATTGACCTTGACTTCATCATATTTCGCTTCCTCTATAATCGGCCCCTATTGACTATATACGACCAAAACTTGACTTACAGCATCTCCGAGACACGGGGATACATGAATGTAGTGCGAACAACTGCCCCCCCCTTTTAGTTTATTTGAGATATAAGTAAGTGTCGGCGTTTGTAGAGTACAGATGTCAATGAGGATGTTAAGCGCTGTATATGACGCGAGCACACGAGCCGTCGGTTATTCACTTTAGCTATAGTACATGGAGAATTTGTTAACTAACTTTTTATATATATTTACAGGTCAATGGTGAAGTAGAGCCAGGTGAACTACCACCTGAACAAACAATGGGCTGGAATTGAAATCAAAATGCAGCCCAGCGAATAACGAGCTGAATTTGAGAGAAACTGAGACGGATCAGTACTGACCTGAAAGACCTGCCGGAATATGCCTTCAATAAGAACGAGGTATCCATTCATAAGTGATGTCGACGATCATCGATATACGCGATCATCGTTGACAGTGTTTCAAACAATGCGCTTGCTATCAAATCATAATCGATTTCATTTTTTTTTTTTTATTTATTTTTTTCTTTTTAAACTGAACAAGAAACTTGGAAAATGAGGGATCAGAATATAATCGCTATAGTACAAGTTATCCTTTATTAACATACAGTTTATACCACAGTAGCTTAAACGTGTCAAAACAAACAGCAAACAGGTAATACAAGCACAATATGCACACACGTTACATGCGCACGAACTTAGCACACGCACTTGCATTCAACCCCGAAAGTAACTATTTAACATCATCGGTTATGGGTCCAAAAACCGATTGATCGATTACGAAATTACAATCGAGGGTGGTAGCAACGCAACTACCATTCAGCGAGACATACAAATTCTAGTGCCAGAAGAGTTTATGATTATTGGGACCAACTTAGAAGTATGTATTAACAGGTTATGCAGAAGGAAGTTCTTTTAGCGGGTGTATTTTCAGTTGCATAGATATCATATTTAATAGTTAAGACTTGCTATTTGTTATATTTGTTATATATTATGGTTTTACTGCAGTAAAAACTTGCTCCATTTATGTTTTGGTGACAGAGAACCCTAATAGTGGCTTACCGGCAAGAACCGTCTATCAACAAATTGTTTGATGCACTTGCAGATACTGTGGCATCCACGACCCGAGCTCAGTGGTTCGGTGCATTCAATGTAAGAAATGGTTCTGCAATGGTAGAGGGAATACATCAGGGAGTCACATTGTCAACCATTTAGTCCGAGCTAAGCACAAGGAGGTTACCCTGCATAAGGTATGATGACTTCCATCATGCACGTCTCAGAGATGCCAA